AAATAAAATAAGCTACATGTATTTGTTATTGGCTATGGTAGGTTATTGGTTATGTTCACATACTTATTTAATTATTAAAATGTAAACCGATCTTTTTCATATGGGCGTTTAGAGTTGTGCCCCCTAGATCAGGTCTCTAGTAAGTGTGTGCTCAAAGTGCACCAGATTGAAGCATTTTACTGTCAAATGTTCAAAAATAAATCTTCCCGGGGGGGCATACCCCGGACCCCCCTAGAGGATGTGACGTCCACCCCCCAATTCAAACATGTTCATACAATACTGAATACATTTGAAGCCATTTTGACGTCTTTTAACTATGTCAATAAGTTTCTGTTTTTGCAGTGTATTTGTCTTTGGTAGAGATTTTTCATTTATTCTTCACACATAAAATGTCACCCAAAATCTCACCTAGGGCAGCAAATTGTCTAGAACCGGCCTGGTACTAGGCCTCAAGAGCCTTTCTTGTGCTGACATATAGAAACAAATTGGCAGGGCGCACTTCGCACGCGCAAAAAAATTCCACGCGCTCCGCACTTACATTATGCTGGGCCCACATGCCTTAGCAACGCTGCTATGACTCCATCCTAGGGGAAACACTGCCTACGCAATGATTACATTCAGGCAGACTGTAGAATACAACCTCTTTGGACAATTTATATACTTATTGAAAACAAGCTACAAAATGTAATACCTTGGAAAATGCTGTTTATTACTTTTTAATAGCCTTCATTTTCGCTAAATCAACTTTTAATAATTTTTAAGACCCCGCGGAGACCCTGCAAAGTATATAAGAAAGACAAAGACACCAAAGAACAAACCTCAGCTTTAGATTTACGTTCGGCGGCCATGAGCTGAACTTTGTCCCTCTGCTCTTTTGGAGCTGATTTGTACATGTCCAACAAGAGCTTCATCTCTTTCTGGGACTCCTGGGCTTTCCTGACGAGTCAAAGGAGATAAAAGATTACAGTAATGGCAGTAATCCGATAAGTGCAGTTATTTGAGTACACACATTTGGTTGAAAAGACATCATTGCAGGTCAAAAAAAGAGCAAAGAATGCATTAGAAATAGAATGTAAAGCGAGGAGTAGAAGAAGGATGTACTTGAGTTCTACTCTGAGCATCTTCAGAGTGTCCGAGTCCTTCCTCTTCAGCTCGTCGCTGCGCTGCCTCTCTCTCTCCCGATCCCTCTCCCGCTCTCGGTCGGCCTCCCTCTCCCTCTCTCTCTCCCGGGCCCGCTGCCTCTCCAGCTCCTTCCTCCTCTCCTCCTCCTCCTCATGGTCCTCGTCATCCTCTTTCTTCACTTCGATGCTGTCATTCGTCGTCTCGTCGAGGATCAGAGTCCCCGTGTCGCCACTTTGACAACGCAACTGTGGACGGAGCAAAAGGTGAATGAAGGGACACTGGGTAGCTGCAACGCATCACTCGTAATGTTTTGGTGGAGTTCAGAAAACCCCTTTGGATCCCACTGAATCAAACACATCACACATTTGATCGTGATTTAGGTCATCTACCTTATTGATCTCCATCTGGGTTTCCCGCAGCTTCCTCTTGTAGCGCTGCACGTCCCCCTTCAGCTGCAGGTTGTGGTTCTGAAGGCTGCTGATCAAATGCCTCATCTCTCTGTTGATTGGCCCTGAGAGAGCAGAGAGCAGAGAGCAGTCAACCTGTGGTCTGGGTTTGAGTCATGCAGTTATCTGGGGCAGTAAGTGATGCAGGGAGGTCATGATGATACAAATGGTTTATTATACACACAACAAAGACAATGCGTTTACACACAGATATCAGATAGACGTGTGCTGTGTTGATCTGTGTGTTGCTCAATGGGACAGTTAACTGCAAAATGAAAGATACACCCTGTTACCCGTAGTGCTGTCTGATATCAATCTGTCTATTTCTCTTTCTGGAAAATGTGGTTTGAGAGGTTCAGTTCAGTAGTATAACATATTTTCAAAATAAAAACAGCCAAGAACAGCATCTTGAGTGACAGGGTCATTATTTACATGTTTCATTTTGCGCTTTGAACAGCTTAAGCCGAGTGCCATCAAGTTCAGTTATAGTCAAGGGAAGGCAAACATTTCAAACGGAAAAACAACAAACGCAGCAACTCAAACTAAAGTATCTAAAATGATAAATAGCGCTACAGGTAAGAGGCAAAGTCAACTGTCCCTTTAATGTTGGCTTTGAGTATCATTCTAAAATCACCATCATCTACAGCGTGAAAAGCATAACCCTTAATGCATCTCTTAACATGCCCCATGTTGGCATGCTTTCCCTCCCCTCTTCCAAGGCGTGCTGATGGATGTGTGTTTGTATTTACCTGCTTGCTCATTGGCTGCCAGGTTCTGCTCAAACTCGATGCGCAACATCTCGTATTCTTTGCGCACCTGGGCCAGGGTATCCTCCAGCTGGATAACCTCGGTCCGCAGCTTCTTCTGGAGCGACAGCTCATCACTCTGAAAGGTTGGAAACAGTTGTTGACAATGTTGCCAAGCATCGGTAATAATAAACACTGTCAGTTGTAGGTTGCTAGGGCCAAGAAAACAGTAAAGACTGATAGTAACACAGGGCCAAAGCCAATGCGCAGTGAAGAAAAGTATTTTCCTTTTTATTCTCTGATGGACAATGTATATTTTAAGAGGTCAACTGTGATGGATGAAGTTCACCTCCATGTGCTCGATCTGTCGGAGGTGGGCGTTCTTGGCAGTGAGCAGGAGGGCGCGTGCTTCATCCAGCTGGGTTTTCACCCCCAGGGACTCGTTGTAAAGCAGGGAGAACTGCGACTGCAGACATTTGTACTCCACAGTCTCCTTCACAACGTCTTCTGGAATATTCCGCAAATCCATCTGAAAAATCAGACGATGACAGTGAAGCATTGGAAGTGATTTACCGCACTACATTCGCCAAAAACGACATATTCATCCACAGATTCAAAAGGTGGATATGATTTGGGTTTGTGAAACCAGATGTAATGTTCTTATCAAAGAAACAGAGATTAGATCTTTACCTTGAGCTTCTCACTCTCCCTCACTGCCTCCTGCAGCTCCGCCTGCAGTTTCTCCAACTCTGCCATGCGGCTATTCGCCAACTCCGCGTTGTGCTCCAACTCCGCATTGAGACTCTCAAACTGACATTTAAAAAAAACAAAAAAAAACATGTTATAAATACTTAAGTATAAATGACCATGGAGTGAAACAAACTGGCATCTGAGATGTGAACCAAGTTATGTGCGAAGAAAAAGTCCCATGTCCCATTTATTTGCAAGATGTAGCTTTGTATGAAAGTTCACCTTCTGAATGTTCAGAGTAATCTGGCCTCCAGAGATTCCTCCTGAGCTGCTGGTGCTGTATCCGGACTTCAGCTGCAGATCACAAATGCAAAACGTAAGTAAAAAAACAAACAAGAACAAACAAGGCCGAAAAACCACATGACAGTAAACAGGTGCAACACATCCTATGACATCACTCAAACAATGCTTATGTTTTAATGTTCAGATGTCTAATGCAAGAAAATACCATTTGATCAATGCATGCATGGCCAGCTAGACATGCATCCATAGAGCAGCTGGCTTAAAGGTAGGGTAGGTAAGAATAGAGAAACCAGCTAGACATTCACAGAGTTCACAGAGCGTTTTATGATACAATTCAAGCTCGAAGTACTTAAACGTAACATTTCCAGATTTTCAAAGCCTGTGTATTACATCTAAATAATATAATTTCAATTGAAAAAAATATTTTACAGACTTATTTTGTATAAATTAATATAGTGTGTGTCTTTCGAACCGACTGCTCGTATTAACTCTGATTGTATGTTTCGATCAGGATTATTTCATTCTTAACTAGCTTTGGTCCCCTGCGCGCCTGGTGTAAGATGCCACAGGGCAAAAGACCAAATTATTAGTTTTGGATGTGCAGACGAAACACGGACTTTAAATAAAAGCAGTTTTCAAAGAGTAGATTTTGAACTCAAGCATATTTTTGAAACCTTTAAAATACATAACGGTCAAAAGTAAGCAAAAACAAAGCCTGCAAGTTGCACACAGACAATTTCACGCACCTGCTCCATGGCTTCTGCCAGATGTTTGTTGAGCTTTTGTTCCCTGTTGCGCAGTTTCTCGATGTCCCACTGCAGGTCCTCGACTGTCGTCTCCATCTCAGACACCTTGGTCTCAGAGCTGGTCACCTTGTCCACTAACTCGTTGTACTGCAATAAAGGTAAAGATGTGAAAACAGCTGTTTCAGCAGTGAAGCAATGGCTGCATACACACAGAACAGCTTTGTACAAGCTACAACAACAGAGCCAAGGACATCGTACCTCCATGGACATCTTGTGGTGTCGGCCCTGCAGCAGAGTGGTCAGGTCTCGCAGTCGAGTGTTTTCGTCCAGCAGGGTGTGGTTTTCATTGATTATGTCAGATTGGCTATCGTCATCACATGCTGACAATAAAGATCAATAAAGTTGTGTCAAATTAGAATGGAGCAAACAACAACTCAATACAGACAGATGAAGCTATAAGTACCAGATCATTCGTTTTAGAGCAGGGTATAAATTGTACAGCAGGTGTTCTTCAGTTGTATTTGTGTGTCAATTGCTTATCACATATGAACGATCACTAATCAGCTTATTCCCAGTTACCTGCAGCCTGGACTTGCTTGCACATGCTGTCGATGCGGCTGTGCAGCCGGTCAAAGACGCAGACCAGGCAGGCGATGGCTTCCTTGCTGAACTGCATGCGGTCTTGGAGGTGCAGGCTGAGCTCCTCCTCGCTGCTGTGCTCCAAAGTAACCAGGAAGCCCTTAGCATTGTCACTTAGAGGAGGAGGGGGCGACGATGCATCTGAACATAGTAAAAGGTGGTAATGTAAAAGGTTAGTTAAAATTTAAAAAGCATTTTATCTAATGATAACAAATAAGTGTTGACTCGACAGTTGAAAATGACTATCAATGTTTTTTTTTTGTTTTTTTTGTTTTTTTAAATGGTATTTTGCAGCAGGAACATGCTCTTACATTTACCCTTTTACTCTACCAAAAGCATTACAATTATTGATTTGAGATGTTTTTGCAAAAGTTGAACACAGTTAACAACAACCGGAAACAACAGTAGCAATATAACAGAAAAAGGTGTATGTTGAATACTGAGGAGAACTGATATTGAAAACGTATGTGGAATCATACCCATTTACACTTTAATCCTAATTCTAATAATGTGACGATCAAATAACATGTTATATGCTTAGATTGGAGCGGTCTACTAATGCAGTAAGTGATGGAGACTTTCCATAGATCACATTAGTAAAAAACCCTGCTTACCTGTTGATGAGTCGTGTGGCAGCTCCTTGAGGTTCATCGCTTCTGACCCAATAGGAGGCGGGGGCTGCTTCTGCCCTTCTAGGCGCTCTTCCTGATGCGCGTCCTGCTTCTCTGCCAGCTCCCCCCCGTTTGGACTTGCTGGTAGAGGAGGTGGAGGCACGGCGGAAGTTGGTGAGGCCAGACTGACACCATCTTCCTCCATAGGTGTTGGTTCAGGCAGGGGGGGTGCAGGTGGGGCAGGGGTCGATGACACCGGAGTGCCGGGCTCAATACGTTTCCGCAGAACTTGCACATTTTCGTCCAACTGCAAATCAGACACACAATTATTAAAAATATTACCTAGGGTTTATTTTCTGTACAACAGTATCATATAGTACTTTATTAAAATGTGTAAAATCATGTAAACAAGGGGTTAGGTAAGGAAAGACGGATACAAAAAAGTGTTTATTAGTTGTTGGTGGCTTTGACAAAATGAGACCCCACTTATCTTGTGTTTACATAACCAGTTTGAGACGCAAATTGGGTATAATCTGGTTTAAACAATGTAATTAGATGTGAAGAAGTACCTGGGACCAGTAGCGGTTGACAATCAGCAGGGTGGTGTCATCGGTGGCTTGTCTCTTCTCCAGCTTCTCAATTTTCTCTCGTAACTCATCCTCCATCGTCTGTCTCTGCTCCAAGCGCTCGCATAGCTTCTTATTCTTGAACTGGAGGACCTTCATATCCATTTCCTCCTGCACAGGAAAAATTGAAAAAAACGAAGTGAGCAATGTCATAAATGCTGATTATTGTTCTTAGTAAGTGTTTAATATATGTGGACTTGTAAACACCAAATGACTGACCGTAGAGGAGACTCCTGCTATGCGTATGGGTTCTATCAGAGTGGTAGTGGTCTTCTCCTCTTTTTTGCTCTTCTTCTCAGGTGGGACAGGGGGGCTGTCCCCTCCTGAGGGACGTTTTCCTCCCCCGGCACCTGACATCTTTCCTTCCCCTAGAAGAGATCAAACAATATTTGCGTTGGTACAGCTTTAAGAAACTACACATTAGTTTGTAAATAGGGAACTCATTCATTTGATGACAGCTAGCTACGGCATTAGCCCTGAACTAAGGGCCACTGATTGTAATTGGCTCCGAATAGTGCTCTTCTGGTGCTAATGTTAACATATGTGTGTCTTATCGATTATGCTGACTGATATTGTATAACCTACTTCTTAAAACACTACCGACTATTCTCAATTTAGCAATTCTTCTCGGAGCGTTAGCAAGCTTGTAAACGCTAGCTATGCTAATGCTATCTTTCTCCGAAACCTTAGTTAGCTAAACGGGGCTCTTTGTCCAGAATATTTAATGACTGGTGGTCACGACTTTCATTCAGGGACCACCATTACATCTATATGATGTTCTGAAAGGAAACTATACACGGAAATGAACGTATAAACAAGATTTACGGCAAATATTAACGTTACAAACCTTCACACGGAGCGACTGAAAATGTAACTCAGTGCATCCAGCGAAGCTACAGGAAATAACGACATGGTACTTCCGCCCATTTTTTATTTTAAGAAATGTCAATCACAAAAAAATAATATATACATTAAATGAGTATGGCATTTTGTGATGATATAAAATAAGTGTAATAATTATTTGTAATGCCTAAACATTTTTTTTTGTATTCGTGTAATGAACCTAGCTGCAATCTTTACTCCGGCCACACGGGGGCACTGCTGTCACATTGTGTAATAACAGGCTCCTAGCTGTTTCGAGGAATGAGACTAGAATGTAAACATCGCTTACGGTAGCTAGCTGTTGTTGTTAACATAACCGGTAGCTAACTTTGAATTTTGTCGCCGTTGAATCGCACACAGTTATGGCTTCACGATAGATTCCTCTAGCTGTGATGGCATTTTCATAAAGATTCCTTATTCGCGGTCTCCAGCTCACTCTTGTTGTGACATTTCATACTTGGTGAGTAGCTTCCTGTACGGTCAGTGAACCTGCTGCTGCAGCAAGGGCAAGACCAACACACACACACACAGCTAGCTAATAAAACCCACATTTTTAAACAGTCGAGAGTAGAGAAAGGTATGTGTAGCAAGCTATTCCAAATAAAATTCTTATGACTTGAATTAAACTAAAGTTAATACAAACACTTCCTTGTCAGTGGTTCCTGTTATTAGACTGATCATACCGCAATGTTACAAAGAGACACATGTGACTAACAGTGTGTTGTTATTACAGATTCGTATGCTGTCACCATGACCAAAGACATAATTCTTGGAGATGAATTACCAGACTGGGTAGGGGCCAAGGAGTTTTACCAGAAGTATGATCCTAAGGAGGTGATCGGAAGGTGAGTGCAGTAGAAAAAAACAGAAATGTGACCTTATCTTTCAATATGAATAATAATAAAAACATTTATTCTGTATCCTGGGTCAATGTTGTCTCAGGGGTGTGAGCAGTGTGGTGCGCAGGTGTGTGCACAGACATGGGGGTCAGGAGCTGGCAGTGAAGATTATTGAGATAACGGCTGAGAGGATGACAGTCCAGCAGCTGGAGGAGGTGAAAACCTCCACACTGAAGGAGATCCACGTCCTCAACATGGTGAAAGGGCATTCCTCAATAAGTGGGTTTGAATTCTACTCTTCCCGAACTGCAAGACACTTTTATTTTCTTTAAATTCAAATGTACTGAAACCTTTTTCTTTGTGTTGATTCCCTTCAGTCACTCTAATTGATTCATATGAGTCCACAACCTTCATATTTTTGGTGTTTGACCTGTGAGTATTACAACAAATAGCTGAAGTGCAATCACTTTTACTATTCCTTCCCTAAAATATAAATGCATAATCAGGAAGCAATTGTATGATGATAGTAATCTTGAATTTTCACTTACAGCATGAGGCGAGGAGAGCTGTTTGACTACCTCACAGAAAAAGTGACTTTGAGTGAGAAAGAAACCAGGTGAGCTCCAACTTTGACACATCAACTGGATTTAATTTGCACTACATTTGATTTTAGGTGGAAAATGTCAATGTCAAATGTATGCATTGCTCTACAGGAGTATGATGCGAGCTCTACTGGAGGCCGTGCAGTATCTCCACTCCCTCAACATTGTCCACCGGGACCTCAAACCTGAGAACATTCTCCTGGATGATCAGGGACACATCAAACTGTCCGACTTCGGTTTCTCTGTGCAGCTTCAACCTGGAGAGAAGCTTAGAGGTACTGGAGTGTATAATAAACTGGAAATGAATGATCTATTTAGATATGCATATAGTTTGTGTAGACAGAGGTTAACATGATCTGTTCTCTTTTATTTGAATTAGACCTTTGTGGGACACCTGGCTATTTGGCCCCTGAAATACTGAAATGTTCCATGGATGAAATGCACCCAGGCTGTGGCAAAGAGGTCGACCTGTAAGCCTTCCTTTTGATCATAACATTAATCTGTAGTGTCATTTGAATCAGTATACATTTACAAAGAATGAACCTGGCTGTTAGTTATATCTCTAATTCTTGCTTACCTTTTTGGTGCATTTATTGAACAGCTGGGCTTGTGGTGTGATCCTTTTCACCTTACTGGCTGGATCGCCACCGTTCTGGCATCGCAAGCAGATGCTGATGCTGAGGATGATCATGGAGGGCCGGTATCAGTTCAGCTCCCCTGAGTGGGACGACAGGTCGGACAACGTGAAAGATCTGGTGAGCTGATAGAAGTTTCATAATATCTTGTGAATGTTCTGAATATTCTCCTGGATCACACTAGTCTTAGTTTGGAATCACTTTGCTCAGATATCCAGGCTGCTGGTGGTGGACCCTGCCGTCCGTCTCACTTCTGAGCAAGCCTTATCACATCCCTTCTTCAGACTGTATCAGAAGGAGAAAGTGCGACTCTTCATTCCCAGAAAGACATTTAGGGTGAGTCACAGTGTTGAGTTTAAATTATATAAACTTCTTGTCCTTTCCATTCTCACATCTTCTCTGTGCTCTCACGCCTCCTCAGGTGTTGATAATCAGCGTGCTGGCCTGTATCAGGATGTACAGCCGTTACCGCAGGACTCGCCCTCTGACCCGGGAGGTTCTGGCCCGAGACCCCTACTCCCTCCGCTGTGTCCGCAAACTCATCGACGGCTGCGCCTTCCGCATCTACGGGCACTGGGTGAAGAAAGGGGAGCAGCAGAACCGAGCCGCCCTCTTTCAGAACACGGCTAAGATCATGCTGCTGGGCCTGGAGGACTTCGAGTCATAAACAGGTCAACCTCATTCCAAACCACGGTGATTTGTATTTAAACATTTGCATGTGTTTTCAAGTCAGTGTTTGTCTTTTTGAATTACTTTGATTTCAAGATGAGGTGTTCAGGGGCCAGGATGTTTCTATGCCTTAAAGCGCACCGTGTTTTTCCGAGTTAAAGATAAGCACGCACATCTCATCCTATCTGCGTTTTGATCCGTGTTTGTGGCTGTTTGAATATTTTCTTGTCAGGTCATCATGTTTGCAGGGTCACTTTGCAGTTTAGGACACATTGCACAATAATTTCAATAACATATAACATACGACTACATTATGTGTACTTAGGATTTTACCTGTTGATAGTCAGTTATTACTGAAAGGAGAATGTGTTTCAAAGCACTGTGTGGACATTAAAGCATTATGGTTTACTGTTTAGATAATAATTATATAGACATAACACAAGAAGGTGCAGATTTACAAGGGTTACAAAGCAGTACCAGAAGACATGTTTAACATTTAAGTACAGTATATGGGGTGTTTTTTGGTAGATATACTGTCGTGCATGCAGACATTCCTTAATAAGAAACCCACTTATCTAACTGTGAAGACTATTGTGACTGTATTTCCTATTGAAACTAACTAACCACGTTACATCCTCAGTTCATTCTGCAGTTTAATGAGCGGCACTTCCAGAAAGTGCCTCCCTGAGAAATGCACATTAATTGTAAAAATGCAGATATATGTACTGTATATGAAGAAAAAATGATTTATTGAGAATAAAACTAATTTGAAGCTCTAATTGATCTAATTTGTGTCGGTCCTTTAAGATCAATGTTTCTTAATCAGTGTTTTTTGGCCTTTTGGTTGGGCTGTGGAGAATCTGGTGCCCTCTTGTGCTGATCTGCGATGTCTTTCATTCGCTGATCCATTTGTCCAGACACGAGCGTCATCTGCTCTCTGACCTCTCTCTCTATAAGTCCCTTCAGTTCTGATTGTGAACCTGAAAGGGATGAAATGAAGCAGTTAGAATACAATATTCTGGGTGCATTTGGCTTTTTAGAACAACTATGATTGGGCTACTACCTAGGGTTGCTCCTTCCGGCTCTCCAATAGATGCTTCTGTTTCCTTTTCCATTACATTCTCAACATCTGGTGCAAGAAAAGTATGAGTAAGCATCAATACAACTGATTTAAAGTGCTCTAAAATATCAAGAATATTCTGTTTTCAATGTGACACAATATAAAAAGGGCTTTGTGCCACTATACCTGCAAATACCAATTATTACCTAGAGCAGAAGAGTTCTCCATGGTAGGTTCATCCTGGCCTGGGATCCCATAAGTAAAAGACAAGTCAAGTTGTAGCTGGTCAAAAATAATAAAGAGAAATATTATAAAATAATAGTATTATTTATAAAAAAAAAAGGAACAATAGCAGCGGTTGCTTGAATCTATGTTTGATTGTTACCTGTGGGGCGAAAATATATTTGTAGAGTTTGTAGTGTCTCACGTAGCGGTTATAGATGTAGTTTAAGATACAGGTCGCCTCCTCAGAGTTAAACAGGTTGATGCTAAAGGGAGGTCGCTGTTGTGGGAAAACATTCAAATTGAACATTGTATGGAAATCTGTGGGCTCAAACCCATGTATATAACAGTTTCCCAGAGTACCTAAAACAAACGATTTCGAGCTTAATATGAGTCAGAGTCTAAAACATTGATTGTTGCAGCTCTACTGAGTAACATTGTTTGTGATTTGTTGTACACACCCTGACTGAGTGACAGAGAAGTAGCTCCTTGCAGTATTTGAAACACTGCTCTATGTTGTTGAGCGGAGTTTCTGCAAGAAAGGAGTTTCAAACACATCCCATTTATAGTTAAGGAACATTTAAATGAGTAATCTTGAAGCGTACTTTGTTTGAACATCATCCATCTACACTGATAATAATAATATGACTTTTCGTACCTATGTTAACTTCATGCGTGGCCTTGATGATGGACAAGAGAGCAGATGTTTGTTCCTTTTTATAGTTGCATTCTCTGCAAAAAAGCACCGTCTGGACATACAACTCCAGCAGAACTCCTCTCTTTGGTTCAGGGAGATCGACTCCAAACACTCTGCATAAAGCACTGTCACAGAAGAGAAGAAGTGTGAAAGAATACTTAATGCTGTCAGTGTGATTGTGTTAAATAGATAGAAATGTTTAATATTAACAGGTGGTAAAAACCTCTCCAGATCAGGGATGGAGTGCATTTTCTCGATTTCCTCCATGTCATGGTAGTTTACGTCTGTCCTGAACACACACAAGGAATGGATTTTTGCTAGACATTTGTATGCAGGGCTTAAAGCAGCAACCAATGACATTGAATATAATCTGGGGACACAGCTCTCACCATAGCATCAATTTAGGTTTCAGGGCCTGTGGTACCTACAGGAAAAAAACAATGCATCACAAGGCTATAATTCTTATAGCTATAATATGAATCCTTATATTTTAACTATATAATTTATAACAAAAATAAAGTAAACGTGCAGGCAGTCAAGTAGCAACCTGTAACTAGCTCTTACCTCTGTTATTGTATCCATTTTTATTTATTAAGCCCAATTATAAATTGAGCAAACTGCAGACGTTAACAGCTGAAAAACAGAAGTAAGATTACACCGATTCTCTCATCAATTTTCACTGTAATTGACCAAAGGCAAGTTTGCGGAATAATTTCCTGTTTGGAAGGTTGTTTCCTAGCAACGTGATACAAATGTTCTTTTCCGGTTTAGCGCTCTGTACAGAAAAACATAAAATGTATTTTTATGAATTGAAAATAGAATATAAGGAATTTAAAAATATAAATAGCCTTTTCTATACATAAAACCCTAATATAAATACTGAAAAGAAAAAAATATTATAGAGGAAAAAGATAAGTTGAAATATCCACAATTATTTTTTTAGATAGGCTACTGATCTTTATTTTGTCGAAAATCAAGTGATTTCATTCAATTCTAGAATAATGCTAGGTCTATATTAGGCCTACCAGTGCAAACGTCGAAAACGTCAACGCTAAATTAATAATACAGACACAAACAATGTTGTTTTCTCATTAAAAACATGGATGTTTGGATTGTTTTGAATTTTCACCGCTCTCAATCGCTGCTGCGTGACAGCCGTATCCATGGGAACGACATAAACCTGCCTGTTCGGCTAATAGCCAACGCTTTGTTTCTGTTGTTTTTATCTATTATTTTTGCCGTTTTAGGGGGATTTTAATGGCCCACGCGATTGTTATGTTTCGTGAGAAGGTAGAACACGATGAGGCTCGTTTGGGGGAGACTCGGAGGGTTTACTAGCAGTTTTTGGTGACTTGTTTGGCTTCCTGTTTCACTGTTTACGGCCGGGTAAGTAAGTGATGTAAGTATTTAATAGTGGCATGAGGAGGTGATCACCTTCCCTTCCTGTTTCTCCTGTGTTTACACCTTAGCACCCACACAGAGCGGTCCTGGAAAGCCTGCATTGCCCCTGCTACTTCTGCTCCACACTGACTGAGCTGCGCAGTGCACTTTAAGAACATTATCCCCCTTTAATCCACTTTGCCTTCTGCTACACAAAGGTGGACAGGGTGCCACAATCAAACAACGCATTTTATTGCTCTTTTATTTTGGAGACAGATGAATTTCTCACATTGAACTTTTAATGCTGGATTTCATAGCCTCTGTTTAAGTATCCTTAATTATCTACTGTTTGTGAATAGCAGTGATTCATCCCCTCAGACATGGAGGACCCTGATATACGACAACAGAAGCTCGACAACCAGGTAAAGAAACAAGGATAATTGAAGTATTTTATGTCTTCTACACATAAAATAGTCCAGATATGTTTGGTTTTATTTATTTATTTTTGAATTGCTCAAGAAGCAGAATCCAAATGACAAAGATATGTTACTTTTAGGTTATAGTAGACGTTTAGCTCCATTCCTCTATCAAAACATAGAAGTTAAATATAATAATTATAGTCCATGCTGACAGTGGATAAAATACTGGGACTTATTTTTGTCCAATTAGCTTACATGTGGTTAAAACAAAGTAAATAACGCTTGAGATCCTGGCTACCTGTGTCAGGACCACCTGCTGCTCAAGTTTAAGTCTCAGTCTTGTGACTGCTGGCTTATATCCAGTAGAGTAGCTTCAACACAAATATCTTGTACAAGGAGGATCAGTAGTTAATCAGCGATAGAAGTACTAATTATAGCTGTAGTAACCAAGTAAGATGTTAGTAAACAGTAACAATGATGCACAGGCATAGTTATATAAGGCATAGAATACAATTATCCAACCAATATGTGTTATATTACAATAGTAATTTTCCCAGATCCCAAAACCTCATCTGGTTCTTTTTGTGGTTAAATAATAGAACAGAATATTATAATTCTGGCCAATGATCATAGCTCAAGATGGGTTGATTGTTATTGTATAAAAATGGGTTGCACAATGAAATGCATTTGTAGCCTTCTTATGCTGTAGATGTAAAATAAAAAACAAAATGTAGTTCATTTTCTGAATTTGCATCAGAACAAAATGTAAAAAGCAGGACTACAAACTATTGAGAGTATTCTCTTCTGAAATCAAATACCTCATAATAATGATGGTTTAGCTCATGGTCCGTCAACTCCTATTACATTTGAAAAAAAACATTAGAACATTCAAATGTAATGAAGTGCCCTAGATAGATTCTACCACAGCTTTACTACCCAAACAACAAGATGTACTTATTGAAAGTGAGTAAAATGCACAATAAGACATCACTTAACCTATAGGTTGAGTTGACAATTTGAAAGGAAGTCTAATACTTGGTTTTCCCACAGCGAGCCCTTTTGATGAAAAAGCAGCAAAAAAAGAGAGCTGATTCTCAAATGGTGGTAGCCAATCGGGATGCTCGCCAAAAGAAACAGAAGCTCAAAACTGTGTGCTCCGATCAAACACCGCTGCTGATCAGCCAATCCCTGAGCAACACTTCCCTCACTGGTTAGTATGAGAATTACTTATTAATGTATTTGGCTATATCTATTTTATTACACATTTCAATGTAAAGTGCAATCATGTTTAGTCCTTTAAATAATAAAATCCAGGTTTGTTTGTTTGCTTTTCTTCCCTGGAGATCAAGTTGAACATGCCCATGATAACCCACTGGATGAGATCCTGTTAGGTGAAGACAACACAACAGCAACTATGAAGTTTGATGAGGTGCCTTCACAGATTCCTAATACTCCCAAAAAAATGAACTTGGAGATTGACAAAGAGCCTGAGGTGAAGTGTGAAGTGGAGGATAACGCTCAGGGTGAGGGGAAAAAGCCAAAGAAGAAAGACGTGAAAAAAGAAAAAGCCAAAGGTAAGAAAATGCAAAGCAGAATATTTGATTCTAATGTGATGTCTTTGTTTTGATTAACATGTGTGTGTGCACGCAAATTAATCTCTCATTTGATTTGCTTTTAACCAGAGATCGACCAGGATGATGAAAAGGAACAAGAGAAGCAGAAAAAGGAGAAAAAAACAAAGAAGAAAGACAAAGCGAAAGAATCTGAAGACCCACAGAAGACAACCAAGAAAACCAAACAAGAGCGAAAAAGTGAGTTCAATTTACAATTAACATATCAATACTCTATTCAAAATACTTTTACAGCATTTCAGTATCACCTACTTCACAGAGAAGCACTTGCAGGAGGAGTCGAGCCAGGAGGCAGAGCCAGTGGGGGATGTGGGGAGTCCAAAGAAGAATAAAAGCAATGAAAGTGAAGCTGAAGAGACAGAAGGGGCTGAGAGGCCTGCCACTCAATCGCCTAAGAGGAAAAAACAACTCCACACAAGTGAGCGACAATCTGGCCTTGTTGCATCTTATGATCAACAATACCATACCTTTTTTGTAATGAATGTGACATCTCTACAGCCAGGTGCCAAATAAGTGACGAGAGCAAAGACGAGGAAATCCAGAAGGAGAAAAGGGAGAAGAAGAAAAAGAAAGCAGAGAAGACCGCGCCAGGTCTCGGTTCCCTTAACTCCAACTACAGAAAGGGTTCATCGTCAAACAGTGAATCCGATGACAGAGTGAGACATTACAAATGAAAGGGTTTAGTGTGTCGTCAAAAGATTTTGATTAGTCACAAAAAGCATGAAAGTAACATCATTCTCACACTTATTGTCATTTCAGTCATCGTCTCCAATTTCAGTGGAGGATCTGGAGAAGTTTGCGTTGCGTCCGGCCTCCAGGGATGTCACCATCCAGTGCAGGGTCACCAGGGACAGGAGAGGCATGGAGAAGGGAATGTACCCCACGTACTACCTCCACATGGAGAAGGAGGATGGCAATAGGGTTGGTCCTTCTACTCAACTTGAACCCAAACTTTGTGCACATTGATTTCAGTTCAAATGATCCTGTTGTAATGTTCTGTCATGTTGCTATGAAGGTTAATTATCTTCTCTACAATCATTCTGTTTTTCAGGTGTTTCTAATGGCAGGCAGAAAAAGGAAGAAGAGCAAAACATCCAACTATCTCATCACCACGGACCCAGTTAATCTTACCAGAGACACAAACTGCTACATAGGGAAACTAAGGTACATCTCTCATCCAAATCTTATTTGTTTGATTTCCTGAGTAACTTATCAGTAAGTTCTGCAGTATCTTGTATTCCTGTAAACCTTTTCAAAACCCCTTTTGGTCAAATGTAAGAATCCAGTGACATTATGCTAAACACGTGGACGGGGTTCTCAACCCTGGGCCTGAATCCGACTTTCACTTATAAGAGGAATTTAGACTCTACAAAATTAAAAAAAGACCTACAAATCCACATCAACTGTAACAGCCATGACTTGTGACTTTACAGATTCTTGAGCCATTTGACTTGAACATAATTCATACCTTCCTCCAAGCCCAAAACTTGTGATTTTCCTGTCAAAATGTCAGCCATGAAAAAGGCCCCTAATGGTTTTCTATATTAATTGCATCGCGTGTGTAAATTGGACCATTTTGAATTTTCCCATACATTTTGGGAACTCTTCCTTGATTTGTGGCATACTGACAGAATCAAATCAAATTGCAGGAATAAAAAACGTTGTAGTTCCTTTGCTAAAATAAATAAGATTTCAGGACGCTTTCACTTCTCACCTTTTAGATGATTTTAGATTACTCAAATTACTTTTCTCATTTGTTACAGGTCAAATATTCTGGGTACAAAGTTCACAGTCTATGATGGAGGTGAAAACCCGGAGAAAAAGCCGTTTGTCAAAGAGTGTGAATCAGTGAGGCAAGAGCTGGCAGCAATCTGCTATGTGAGTCTAAAATCACCTAAAATAAAACCCACTTTAACAAAACATATGAAGAGATAAAACCTATAATACGATCATCTTTCACGTTCCAGGAGACGAACGTGCTGGGATTTAAGGGTCCCAGGAAAATGACAGTGACCATCCCCGGCATGTTGGAGAACGACGAAAGAGTGTCCATTCGCCCAAAGAATGTAAGTTTAAAAAGTAAAAGAACATAACAAAAAAACGCTATGAAGTAAGAACAAGAAGCTGAACTGTTGTGTTATTATTATAGGATCTTGATACTCTTCTGGCCCGCCATGCACACAGCAACACTGACAATCTGGTCACGCTGTTGAACAAATGCCCGAGCTGGAACGAACAGTCTCAGTCGTTTGTGCTTAACTTCCACGGTCGTGTCACGCAGGCCTCGGTCAAAAACTTCCAGATCGTCCACCCTGAAAACGGTAAGATGTCTCCTTTTATCAGGGGCGGTTCTAGGGGGGTGGCCAACAGGGGCCAATGCCCCCATAACACTGACCAGGGACCACCCTCCAAAAAAAAAAGTTACAATATTACGATTTATTGGAACTAAATTGAATCAGAGACCCGGATGTACACTGGTAACTGTTCATTACTAGGGGTGTAACGGTTCAGGTCACGGTTCGGTTCGTACCTCGGTTTGGGGGTCACGGTTCGGTACGGGTTCGGTACAACAAGAAAAAGCAAAAAAAAGTCCCAAATGCATAATTCCAGGTTTGTTGTTATTTATTTTTGAACAGTAGTGCAAGTTTCAGTTTAAAAATAAGGAACTCTGACATTTTGAATAATTAACTGTATTAAAAAGTTAAAAACAAACCACAAGGAGAAGCAGTACCACAGCCACCCGAATGGCCAGATTATCTATCAATCCCGCTGCAGCATGTCACGACAAAACGGTTCGTCATCAAGGCTGCTAAAACTAACAACCCGACGCANTGACATTTTGAATAATTAACTGTATTAAAAAGTTAAAAACAAACCACAAACAGTACCACAAACACTCAGATGGCCATATGATCTATAATGGCTGATGTCAAACAAAAACGTTTCATCAAGCTGTAAAACTAAAAAGAATGTCTTGAAAATATTACATCAT